TGTTCTGAATGGGCCTCACTATGGGACCTGCTGGATGACATTGGGGTCATGCTTGAGTGTCCTGGCAGATGGAAGGGACAGATCTCTTGGGAGCATTAGTGTGGCTGGTGGGGACTGGGCTCTAAGCATGGGATGGTGGGGCATTGAGGCTTTTGCCATTGGTTGGAGGCATTATGTACCATTGGAGCAACCCTTGAGGGGACTGGGAGGGGCCTCATAGCAGGGGTCAAGGCACTTGAGTCAGTGAGAGCCTGGGAGGTGGGAATGATTTTTCCAGTTTCCAGATAAGGAAAGAAACTAAAGCTCAGTGAGGTTAAGTAACTTGCCCAAGCTAGTGATGGACAAAGGGAGGATTTGCACCCAAGTCTGCTGACTCTTAATTTGCTAGGATTTCCCAGGCATCAGCTTCTGGTGAGACCAAAACAGAGATGGAGACATGTGGGCTGGGAGGTGGGGCAGGACAGGGTGGCAGAGCTAATGACATCTGCCAAGACAAATGCCTTGGACAAATGGAGCTGGGCCTGGGATGGGGGCCAATTCCTCCAGCTGTGAAGGGTACCTGGGTGCCCTGGGTGTCCAGAGAGAGAGAAAGTAAAGTCCCCAAGAGGAGTAGGAGGTGGGGGGGGGGTTGGGTGAGGGTGAGCCTGCCCTCTGGGGCGAGATTCGGCCCCACGTACACTGCCCACCTGTGCATAGCACCAGATCGGGTGTCTGCCTCCCTCTTCCCCTCCTCCCTCCTCCACTACCTGGCCTGGCCCATGCCTCACTGCACCCACTCAATGGGCCTAGTCTAATCCCCTGACATCACCGCCTGCCCAGCACAGGCCCTGCCTGGCAGCCTTGGCAGCCCCCAGGCTCAGAGACACAATTTAGGATCCCCCACCTCAGAACCCATCTTTCCCTCAACCTCTTCCCTCCTTCAGCTCACAGTTCCAATCGGGGATACCCCAGATCCAGTCCCAAGCTTGGGGGCAGGTGTCTAGAATCTGTCCTGGCCTTGCTGTGTGACTCCAGGTAAGTAGCTGCCCCTCTCTGGGCCTCAGGCTCCTTATCTAAGTCTCCTCTACCCCCAGCTAATCACGTCAACCTGTTTTGACTTCCTCTCAGCACCTTGTAGCTTTAGGAAATTTTGTTTATGAGTTCACATGTTTGTTGTCAGGGAACCACTGGACTGTGTGCCCCTTATTATTCACCCCGGTGCCAGCACATAGCAGGGGCTCCATCGATAACTGCTGACTGAATGTATACATGGGTGAATGAATGAACAGATGTAACTCCTGCCTTAGCAGGAAGCATATGGACCTTCTCCCTCCACACCAGCCCCAATGCGGGAGAAAGGTAGAGCAGTATTTCAGCCCCGAAACTGGGTGGAAGCAGGGTAGACGTCTGACCCACCATTTTCTGTCTCGGCGGGTAGACAGGGGCTGAGAAGTGAATCTCCTTTATGGAGAGACTGGGAAAGCTCTGGAGAAGGACCAGAACCCCAGGCCTGTCTCTCTGCCACAAGGCTTCCCCGGGTGGGGGTGAGGTGGGGGAGGGGAGGGCCTCAGGTATATGTCTGTGTGTCCCTGTGTGCTTTACCTGGGCAGAGGGCAGCCACTGACCCAAGATCTCCCAGGATAGCAGAGGCTGAGACATGGCTAAATCTCAGGACTCCTGACCTCCAGCTGCACACGTGTGTGTGTGTGCATACGCATGGCTACGGTGTGTGTACACGCCATATGTATATGTGTCTGCTCCGAGCAAGTGCCTCTGGTGGGGCCTCCGGGTACGGTTGTGTGTTCATAGGCGTCTGTGTGGACGCGTACGCAGTCCTGTGTCTGGCTCTCCCTGGCAAGGTATGTGGTCTAACACGGGTGTAGGCATGTCCACTAGAGTGTCAGCTCCATGAGGGAAGGGATTTGTGTCTGGCTTGCTCCCTACTCTATCCCAGCATCTGGAACAAGGACAAGCACACAGTTGCGGTCAATACATCCTTGACTGAATAAACGTATGAAAGTGTGTGCACATGTCTGGTGTGTGCCCACTTGCCAACCCATGTGTAGACGTGCACATGCTCCTGTGTCTAAAGGTGCACCTGGGTGTGGGTGATGTTGCTGACACGTCAACCTCCTGTCCCTTTTCCAAACTCCTCAGGAGCCAGGGCCCAATGCCTGGGTCCCCGTGGGGAGGAGCAGGGGCCTCCTCCTCATGGGAAACTGGATCCCTGGACCTGCAAATCAGCAGGGAGCAGGGCGGCCCCTTTGTCCCCCGATAATCCCCTCCCCACCTGGCCCCCTTTCTCCCAGCAACCGGGGTTTAAGGTCGAGTTTGGGGGCTGTAGGGGACAAGGGTGTCACCTCAGTGTCCCCTTCCCTACCTATTCCCTGCGCCCGGGGCTTCTGACTCCTTCCCTCCCTCATGGGCGGCCCTAGGGCTCAGCCCCAGGTATAAAGCCACCTGAAGGGTGGGAGGAAAGATGCCCCAGGACCACCCAGAGACTGCAGAGACGAAGGAGCCAAGGAGAGAGCCTGAGCTATCATCCGCTGTGTGAGTGAGGGAGGGCGCCAAGGTCCCGAGGTCAGGATGGGAGGGGGTACCGCCCGGCCCTCTGGCCCGTCTGACTCAGGTGCCTGGCTATTTTACATCTGTTGCGAACCTCCAAATCCTTAAACACAGAGGACTTCATTCGTCATTCATTCATTCAAGAAATATTTACCAAGTGCCTGTTAGGCGCTAGGTAGTATTCTAAGCATTTGGGGACACAGCAGTAAAGAAACAGGCAAAAAGTTTGTTGAATGAATGAATGAATGAATGGGCCTTCACCTTCAGGCCTTCCCTTAAGTTCTGAATTTCTGGGAATTCAGGAATGTAGACAGGGAAGCCAAGGAGGCCACCCTGGTTTGTCTCTCGTCTCCATCATAGCTGGTGACCTTAGGGAATTGCCCTCCTCTCTGATCCTCACACTGTTGGTGGGGACAACTGGGCCCGACCCTTGAGAAGCCAATTTGGCAGGATTTACTCAAATTTAAAATAAATACACCCTCCAATCCAGATATTTCCACTTTCAGCAGTTCCCCAAGAGGCTGGGATAAGGATGTTCATGGAAGCATCCATTCATTCAAAAAATACTTATGGGGGCTTCCTTGGTGGCACAGTGGTTGAGAATCTGCCTGCCAATGCAGGGCACACGGGTCCAAGCCCTGGTCTGGGAAGATCCCACATGCTGCGGAGCAACTGTGCCCGTGCTCCACAACTACTGAGCCTGCGCTCTAGAGCCCGCAAGCCACAACTACTGAGTCCATGTGCCACAACTACTGAAGCCCACATGCCCAGAGCCCGTGCTCCCCAACAAGAGAAGCCACCGCAATGAGAAGCCTGCACACCGCAACGAAGAGTAGCCCCCCACTCTCCGCAACTAGAGAAAAAGCCCACGCGTAGCAATGAAGATCCAACACAGCCAAAGATAAATAAATAAGATGAATAAATTTATTTTAAAAATATATATAGGGCTTCCCTGGTGGCGCAGTGCTTGAGAGTCCGCCTGCTGATGCAGGAGACGCGGGTTCGTGCCCCGTTTCGGGAAGATCCCACATGCCGCGGAGCGGCTGGGCCTGTGAGCCATGGCCACTGAGCCTGCGCGTCCGGAGCCTGTGCTCCGCAAATG